CCACAAAGCCCTCAATCATGGGTTGGCGTCGTCAGCGGGACGCGAGAATTAGCAAGCCCGTTCACGTAGAACGGCGCGTAGCCGGTAGATGAATGCACTGCATTGTTCAGATCAAACTCTACAAGTGGCAACATGGCGCTCCAGCGTCTCAGCGCAGACCCTTCCGAGAAGGATGCGCACCCACCCGGTGTTTTATGTGGGCTTGTTGAAGCCGTACCGTGATCCAGCGCAAGTGAACGCAAAATTGTTGGCGCTAAGGCGGCGCCCAAAGGCGCTCGGCCACCCAGAAGCTGACCAGCAACTAGTCAGAGAACGGAGTGCAACAACTTCCGCTTCCAACGGCGCAAGGCGCTCCACCGTCGCACGGAGTGACGTTTTCGTTTGCTTGACGGCTAGGAGCCACTTCAACAGGGCGCGATAATCATCAACGGAAGGCAGTCAGTGAACAAAGTTCTTCAGACTCCGGAGATCTTCCGCGCAGCGGTGGGCGACCTCGGAAAGATGCTCGGCGGAATATTGATGATGACGAACTTTGTTCTCTTAAGCTCGAAGTGCATCGCGAGTCACCGGACGGCGATCGACCAAATCGTCATCGTCTGCCGCCGACTCTTTTTAATGAGAATGGTGGCACCCACTATCACGTGGAACTCCTTGTGGGTCGACGTCGTCGACAGGGTCGAAACCAATATCTTGTGAAGTGGGGATACCCGACTCCGAGAACTCGTGGGATTTGAGGTACCACTTCGGCAAAACTGTTAAGAAGTCATAGACGAACATGGTCAAAAGGATTATGACGCTTCGCATCGTGGTGCTCCCCGCACTTCTTGGGAATAGCCCTGGAAGCGGGAGGGCTATGAGCCGAGCTCAAGTTTCAGACCTGAGCTGCTGTAGTCGTGGACTCACCCGTGTGGGAAACCACATAGCTCGCGGGAGCCTGATGGATGATTCCATGTGTCGCAGGGCGACAATAAACAGGAAGTCGGCGTTGCGCCTTGAACCTGGTAAGCTCAAATTGGAGATGGCGCCCTACGGGCACTTTCATTTCCTTATGGCTTTGCTGTAAGGTAGACAGCAAAGAAAGTTTCCGGTGGCACTGCACCCATCGCTCAAAGAGCTCCTCATCATCTACGGCGTTTTTGCCAGGGGTGAGCACCACAGGAATAGTCCACATTGCGGGTACAGGAGCGCCTCCTCTTTTAGCTCGAAGTCGAGCGCGGACCGATCCGTTGGGATTCCTTGTGGTACCAATAAGCGAGCTCGACGAGCTTTCCGCTGGTCAAGCTCAGCTTGTGTCGTACTACGTAGACGGCTAACGATCGAGTGATCACGATCAAGTGATCGTGTCTTTTGCTTCATGTAGCGAGATCCGCCAAGCGGAAGCCGTATTCCACACGAGGGTCCAGGATCGAGCGTGGATACGAGCGCTTAGGAGCCGCCATGTGGGCAGCCTCCAGCTGCTGCTCCTGTGTCTCGTCGAGGCGATTTGTTTTAAAATCACTTTCCCCGGCAGTCGAGAGATCTGGAAACGGACATGGTATCCGCAAAATTAGAGCTGGTCCCACGTCGCGCCGTTGGCGCACCTTCTACTCCTCCTCTTCCCGTGCTGTGAAAGAAGCATCCGAATCGTAGTCGACTTCCTCCAAATCTTCGACGAGGAAATCCGTCTGCCGGGGCGGGCGCGGTGTGTGACGCTCGGTTGCGGAGGGCTTGTGATGTGCTTCCCGTGAAGCCGCGGACGTACTGTTCGGAGATGCACCCCGAGCTGAAGAAGAAGGGCTTCGCCCGTGGGCACCCTCGGAACCAGCTAGGCTGGGTGCTTTTCGTGTCTTGGATATAGGGCTAATTGAGCTTAGAATGTTTAGAGACTGTCCCTGGGACGTAATGGTGTCTCAGACATGCGAGCCTCGTATGAGGCGACACTTCACTGTGAATTGTGGGTATCCACAATTTTGATGGGGAGGGTGTAACGGGGTTACACGTGACCTGGTATGAAGGGGTGGGTCACACAAGATGGTGTGACTACACAGTGGTGTGGCGACACCGGAAGAAGAAGCCACTACGTGGTGGGACTGCCAGTAGTTATGCATATTAATTGGTTTGACTATTTAGCTAGGGAAAGATATAGATTTAGATATAGGTGGCTCTGACGCAAATAAAACAGAAGAAATGTAGTTTACATTTTGAACGGAAGAGTGTGTTTGCCTTGGGTTAAGGTTGTGGATACTCATGGAGTATGCGGATTGCGATTGGCTACACATATTCTCAATCTAGTATAGAAGGTAAGGTCGGTGACCTTAGCTTAGCTTCGTCTAAGCAAAGAGCTACGGCAGCTTTGTTGCACGCTGAGTCATGTGATACTGGGTAGGTAGATACTCCCAGCGTGAATATAGGAATAGGATTTATAGGATGCAGAAAGTGGAATGAAACTCCATAAAGACAGGTGCTTGATAAGTGTTCACTTGCGCATGATTTAAGGCAAAGTACGTGTGAACTACATACAGTGCTGGCCAAAAATATGTAGCCATGACTATTTCTCAAATTTTAATGTCAATTTTCAGCGAAATACCCTAAAACCGTGTTGAAACGCTATTGAGATAAAGCACTTTAGGAGCATATCTTTTTTTTCACAGACGATTTTTCGTTGCGGAGATCAA